ACCCCAAAACCCCATGGAGCATTATGTATTTAGGATGAAAAGTAGGAAATAAAATTTTTAAAGGGAATACCGAATTAAATTGCAATCATTGATTTAATGGATTGTGAATTGTGCAAAACTCAAAGAATCTATAGTAAATGCTATGATTGCAGAGATTTTTAGTCTCCCAGCAAATTATTTATATCAATATGCCAGCAGTGCGACCTTCAAAATCACACTTTAAATGGTGATCAGCAATCCTAATTGTCGCATAGATCGCAGGGATACAATGAAAACAACACGCCTGTAAATGGCCATACCCATGTTAGGGTACTCGTTTGCTCTGAATGTGAAGAGTAAGATGCATATGGATACTGTAATGACTGTGAGCAATACATGTGCTAGGACTGCAGTAAATCCATTCATAATAAAGGTGCAAGAAAACGCCATATCCTTGACTAACAAAAAATGATTGAGATTGGATATAGTACCCCTTAGCAAGTGCAGACAAAGATAGAAAACTTGAGAACGAGGTCACAACACTAATAGACCCCAATCTAAGAACAGCATTCTCAGAAAAATCACGACTACATCTCAAACAGCTCAAGACAGTCAAGCAAGCAATTATAAGAAGATGAAAGAGTGCAGAGTTTTGACAGCTCCAGTAAGAAAGGACTTTCGAACTAGTCGTCGTATCAATATCTTAAATAAATTCAGAATACTAAAACTGAAAGCGTCTCATTTTCTTCGAGTTCCAATTAGAGTGTTACTCAATAGAGCTTTTTGCCAATTTACTAGCCTATACTAGTAGATCAAGACTAGACAATTACTCTATTGCTTCTAGTTTTTAGAGAACAAGCCATAAAGGGGAATTTAATGTTGCCGTATGAGCAAATAGTATAAATACTTTCAGATAATCTTCAATTGATATCTCAATAAGCGAAAGATCTGATTCTAAAAGTAGAATAAAAAGGATACATCTAAACGACAGTCAGATAGTTTGGAAAAGCCAAAACTCTTACCTTCCTAAGCATGAAGCTCAGCTTTATTTCTTTTGAGAGTGTACAGTGGGTGCTTAGAAGTTTACACAATGACGAGATGTGTCCCAACGAGAGAGCCGTCTAGAGCAGGGTGAAAGAGGCATTCGGCATTAAGATAAGCGGATACTTATGGGAAATTATAATGGAATTCATACTCAAAGATTAATATCAGATTTATGACGTTGAAAAGACAATGCATATTGACTTGAAGGCTATCAATCAGTAATATGCTAACTCATACTTCTCAATTGACTTTGTGAATAACTATGAGTTCAAGTATTTACACAACTACTTGAAAAGAATAATTGAATACAGCAGAGTTCAACTTGAAGTTGAGGAGACTGAGGATAACACTTAAGCTTCATAGAAAACTTTCAACATTTATATAAAAGGACAGTTATATGAAGGCTTGGACTAAGTAAGCATGAAGGATAATTCTTATGAAAACGATCTATACAAAGCGTTTAAGAAGTTTTTAGAGGATTATTTCTTGGGGAGAGTAGAGTTTCCCATAGAAAATCAGCAAGATGAAGTGCTTATGAAATTGCAGAAGATAAGTTTCGCCAAAAATAACTAAAAGTCTTCAGGAAGCAACAGTGGAAATCATACTTAGAAAAGCTCATCAGCTTTAGATAGCAAGCAGAGTCTTGAACCAGATTTCAATGAAGATGGAAGAGCAATCACTGGGGGAAGGTATGGGTGTGCCTAGTTTGTAAAAGTATGTGGACCTTCATTGATGAAAAAACAGTCTCTGGGAAGATTGGCATAAATGGTACAAAGGACTATAAATGAGGATTACCTTAGATATCAGAAGACACTTCTTATTCTTACAGACTGCATCGATAAAACAAGATCTATAGAGGAAAATTAAATGACGTAGGAGGCGCAATTCAGATGAGCTGAAAAGGGTGCTAAATTATAGGCAGTAAAGTAAGCCATTATTGAAGTTTTAGCTGAACAAAAAGGGAAGGTTCAATTACCTCAACTTCCAAATCTGCTTAAAAGGAAATTACCATTCAAGCTAGATTATAATTAACTTGGATTTGCAAAGTTGAAAGATCTAATTAACAGTATGAATAATGAGATCAAACTGGAATTGATAGGTCCTAATCATACCTTTGCTTATTTGATGCTATCTGGAAGATACCATCATGAAAATGGGCATTCGGATGATATCTAAAATATTCCAAGAGACAAAAATCTTATAGATAACAACCAAAAGACACTCTCAGTAGACATTAATACTTCATAAAGAGATATAATGAGCAATCCTTTTGCTGATAGTACTCTTTAATCCATACTAAATGCATTCTATTAAATGCTGATGGAGCATCCATTCGGAGTAGAGTCAACTAACATAATAAGCTAAGTTAGCAAGTATCTTGGTTTCTAATTTGACATTAAAGATTATGGATGTCACAGCGTATATGAATTCATTAATAAGTTTATTCTCCCGACTACTGACTTAGTAATCATAAACAACAAGCCAGATGTTTTCACGATAAGATCAAATTATAGCTTAATGCAGTAAAATAATTAGGTCAATGGGTATCAAAGAAGTGGGTCTCAAAGCTCTCATTCTTTGGGCAATTCTAATAGTCAAAGTTCCTTAAACAGTCTGAATCCTAATTTATAGTAAAACAGTTCTCCTTAGAACATTAACAATTAAACCCCAAGTAACTCAACTCCATAGGGATAGACTCCAATTAATAGAAGAGTTATATCTGGTAAACTTGCAGGAAACACAAATAACTTCTATCAGACCTTTTAAGGAATAGTTCCGACTTAAATGAATCAAAATTTTGACAATTAGCAGTACTATAGTAATCTGTATTTAGCTAATTAATTGAATCAATATGGCAAGCAGAACTATCCTGAAGGAGATTTGAATAGAGTTCCTTCAAGTAGCACTTTTCATATGCCTGGAGCTTCTAGTTTTTACGGGAAAGCAAACAGTTCATAGACTCATTTGAATGTGAGTTAGTTTAAAAATGACTTCGACGTTGAAGTTTCATCTTAAACTCAATAAAATTAGTCATCTCAATCTAACTTACAAATGAACAGGCAACATTAATATCATATGTCCTTTGACTAATATGCCCTATAACTCAAGAAATAGAGTTAGAATGTCCCTGCACAAGCTTAACAAAACTTTTAACCAGTAAATCAAAATACCTAGTAAAGAAATTTTGGTACTTTTGTAAGTGGAGGTAGTTTCCAAACTGTCCCTGAGATTTAACATAATAGAAGAGTTAATCATTCACACGGTGGTGGCCCAATTTTTCAAAGAAACTTCCAATAACTAAGTCCAGTAAAAATTCAGTGTATTAAATTTTATTTCATAGTTTTATGAGAGAATGTACAGTGTCGATACTTAGAATGAACAAAGGTCAAGATCGAATTCACCACATCACAATAAGACAATAAGTTACTTGAATGTAAACTCTGCAACTAGCTCCTAAGATTTTTCAACTCTCCCCATTCATTCTCATAACTTTTACCAGTAAGTTTTCATGAATATCTAACTATTCATAGAAACTCATAAGCAATACCAAACTATCACTAATCTAAAACTAAATTGTAAGTGCACGAAGAGGAAAGCAGAGAATCCTCAATGGGGACGTCAGAAATTAATACAAGTCATGACAAAAGAATGGACAATAAAAATAGCACTAATAATAATTAGTTGGATACAAATGACGAGGATGAGCATCTTGCCATTCACTCTTAACTTATAGAAGGCATTCTAGAGGACTAATATGATGATTTTAATCATTAAAAATCCATTGATGAAATTTCAATTAAGACAACTGTAGTTCATACACCTTAGCTTTCCAAGGGTTCTATGTCTAATCTTATTCCTGGTTCATTTATTTCATACCAGCAGCAAATGCCAAAAAATCTCTAACCGAATCCACTTGGGACAAGTCCTTATGGCAGAAGTGAATTAACTGATTATGAAGAGCAGGCATTGATATTTTAGCAACAGCAAAATCTTGTAATAAAGAGATAGCAATAGTAATTACTCTAATAGTAACAGTAAATGTATGCAGCTCAAGGCATCTACCCAAATGCTCAAGGACTTTTATTCTAGCAGCAGCACATCAAAGCCTTGAGTGAAGATTTCTCAAACAACAGTCTCAGGAACTAATTTATGTACTAACAATAATACTTTTTCCAAGATAATCACAATGCTCACTAACATACCCCAGTAGGTTTACATAGTCATCAGTAAAGAATTAACATGATAGATCCAAATAGCATGCTCGGGACTTTTCACCCTGATAATCGTCCTAACTGAGAAGTTCTCAACTCATACTTCTTAACAATTTGAGATGAATTAATTTTACTTCCTCATAACATTAAATACTTTTAACAGCAATTCGGGGTTTTGGGGTTTTGGGG